GCCAAAATACACTAGAAATAAATGAATTACAAACAAAAACAAAAATTCATAAGACAAAAAGTACAAAATTGTAACTACAGGTTAAGCATCATAGCCTGAATTCTATCTGTGTGATTGTCTCAACCTGCAAAATGCAAACACATACCTGTTTGTCACTGCACCAGTCTGTATGTGATGTACCTCCCAGCTGTTTCACTAGGTCTGATGATCTTTACTACCTGGAAAAGTTAAAGAAAAATAGGAGATTTTTAGGCTGGGGGAGGGAGGACAGTAGTCAAATACACCCAGTAAGAGCTACATTATATTGAACTGGAATTATACTTTGAATGTCTTCAAAACATCATGTCTTGTAACAGGTAATGGGCATAAAGCAGGTGTTTGAATCATCACACATTACTGAAAAGCTGTTTTTTTAAAATGTCAAACCCAAGATCAAATTCATAGCACCATTCAGCAGAGATAGTGATAAGAGTGATAATTTTGTGCATTATCATATTTAGAGACATCTCTCAGATGCATTACCTGTCCTCTTTTCAAGCCAAAGTAGCGAGCCACAGGGTCCCCAGCCTGGATCCTCGGCAACTGACTTTCCTTTAATTTACTGAAGTAAAAATGTTATGGAAGGATAACAAATTTTTGCACAAAGAGTCTCATAAAGACATTAAATACAGTTTCATGGTGGTTTTTAGCTAAAACAACTGCTATTTTATGCTTTTTTAATAAATAGTCATTACTCTGAAGTTGACAGAGTGCAGCAAATCTGATTTAAACATTCGTACTAGTGTTGTAGTACTTGAGACCGGTCTTGGTCTTAAGACCACATATTGATGGTCTTGGTCTTGTCTCTGTCTCGGTCATTGAGGACTCTGGATTTTATTTCAAGACCATAACTTTGGGAATATCAATAAATTGCTTTTGCATTGTCTGATTTGTAAACATCCTAACTTTGATTAGAAGTAAAATATATTGCTTCAAATGCAACCGTTAACCCTAATTAATGACGGTCACCCCTCCCTGCGATGCTTATGTTGATTTCAGCTCTTAGTGTTTATATGTGGGTGATTTATTGGGAATGTGGATCTTTCAGATCAACTTGTGAAGTACCAATGATCTCGTTCCACATTTTATTGCGTGCCATGCAATGCAGGGAACTGGTCTTGGTCTTGACTCGGTCTCAGCCCCTAAAAGTCTTGGTCTTGTCTCGGTTTGGGCGGTCTTACCTACAACACTAATTCGTACATTCAATTACTCAAAGTAGTGCAGTGTGTAAGGATACTATCTTGCCAGAAGTTCCGTCACTTCTTCTTTTGTCATAACAATGTGCTCTGGAACAAGCTGAAAGACAAAAGGGAAATGCATCAGAAAATTTAATAATTCTGAAATATCGTGTCAAAGGGATTTTGATACAGTGGATTTATCAGTCTGTTGTTTACCTCATGCTCTGTGATGTTAATGAGCAGCTCCTGTTGTAGAAACTGTTCCAATATGTATTTGGGTGCCATGTCAACTAGAGACTGAGGAGACATTTAAATAAATATTTTTACCAAGAGAGCAAGATCCAAAAAGAAATAACGACGAGAGGGTCAGAAATGTGTACTTTTTTCTACAATCTAAGTGTTTACCTGTTTGGCTGACGGTGTCATGCCCATCTGAACAACAATGATGGCTCGTGTGATGTTCTCCTCCTGCATCCTCTGACAATACATCTTAATCGTCTTGATTCCCACCTTAGGCTCCTCTGAAAAAGTATAGAAAAAGATGACTTAATAATAACCCACAGCTGCTCACTATTTAAGATTCTATACTGGCCTCATCTGTAGCTCCATGACAGCTTGTGTGCTTTTAAAAATAAATGCTAGCCCCCTGGTATCTAATATTAGGGATGAACCTACCAGGAAAGAAGACAAACATCTGGTCTGTGGGGTCATCGTTGTGGGCCACCAGCACAGTGAGGTCTGTGCGTCTGGGGCGACCCTCACTGGGCTTGTCTCCAAACTGACTCTTGAACTCATCCAGTGTCTGGTCCAACTCGTCTTGTGTCACCAGGTAACCTCTGTCATGGCACAGCTGAGGGTGTAATGGGGAGAGCATAACGTCAGTGTGTTTACAAACCATAATGTTTTAAAAGCAGACCAGAGTAGACCAGAGCTGTCAGACAGCCTGTCAAACACATCCAACAGAAACTAAATTTCTGCTGGATGTGGCTGGTTTCTGGTATTTACCTTTAGGGTTGAGTGTACGTCTTTTATTTATTATTTGGAGTTTAATTTGTCCAGTCCGGTGGAATAACGTTAGCATTTCTATTTTTCGCAGCCTTGAGATTAATTAACTTCCTGAAAGATTAGAGTAATAGTATCTTGTTCTGAAAAGCTAGCCGTTAGCAAACAACGTTATCCACCAGTACACCAGGACCAGCTGCTGCTATATTGCTCTTACAAAATCAACAGCTAGAAACAAATATCTTGTCAATACACAGCCCACACTGACGACAAAAACCCAGCATCCAACACTCACTAACAGAGCGGAACCCCCTGTTTTGGCTAAGCTACATGCTAAGCTAAGAAAACATTCAAACCCAACGCACCTGCATGATGGTTTTGCGAATCTTCCATAGCCTGTATGTTTCCTCTTCGTCATCCATACTGTCTCAGCTCTTTCACTTACTCTAAATTAAATCTAAATATATTTTTTTTTAAATTAATGTATCACATTCGTTCCTCAGGAAAACCCGACGCACGTTTTCGTTTACTGACGCCGGCTGATGACGTAAGCGCGCTGTTTTGGCACAAAGGGCGGAGTCAGCAGATGCAACTCTTCTTCCTCTTCTTCTTGTATTCGGTTATATTCGACTATTCATCTTTTTCCTATTCACAAATCCTCTTGTGTCCTTTTCCACATATTACTTACTTTAGGATTTTCCGTGTAGAGTTGCCAAAAAAATTATAAGATTTCTTTATAAATAATAAATATAAAGAAATCTGACCAGTCCCAATTTCCCAATCCCTCACTTTGTTGTGCAATGCTTTGCCTGGTGGTTCCACTTGTTTTAGCTGACTTTAATTCGGCAAGATGTTCTAGTAAACAGGCAGGTGCAGAGTGTTATTACAGCAGAGAATATTATCTGATTTCTTGAAACATCACCATGATTATTTGATAGAATGAACGAGTGTTTCGGTTCAGCCATTACGACTTATGTCAGGGGAGATTTAGGAGTTAATGGGTGCTGCCAATCGAGCTGTTTCACCGATGATGATCTTTTTGTTTTTCATTCCGATATTACAGTAAGCTCATTTCAGTTTCTTCAGACTGTTGCCCTTTGCATGAAGCTCAACCCCCCATGGCCTGAATGTTTGCTTTTATAAGGAGTCGACTTTCTTCACGAGTTTGTGACAATATTTTGGACTTTGGACCGCAGTTCACATGCATTTCTTTCTAAAAGTGCATTTTCAAAATAAGTTCCCATCACTCAAGTCTTTCCAGGAATTGGAATTTCACCAAGGTAAATATTTTGTATGTTATATTATTAATAATTTAGACAGCTGACAATGAATCATCTATTCCTGTATTCCTGTGCAGCAAGAATACTTACTGGAGGAAGGCTGTAAATGCTTTTTATTCTAAAAGTAAAACAGAAAACAACTCTTTGTTCATAGATGTCATGTTCACTGTATTTCAGTTTTATCTTTTTCCTCTTTCTCTTTCTAGTTTTTGATCAACAGAGAAGGTCAGGTGGTGAAGAGATATAGATCCCTGGATGATCCAAGTGTATGTACAAAAATCTTACTTTGCTTCAGATACTATATTGTATCTTTCCATGTGTTGTCACTATGGGAATCTTGCCAGATAAAGCATTTTGCACAGATGAGAATTCTGCTGTTAAATAACCAAAAGGATAACCCTGAGAGAGGACATCCTTTTGGGTTTAACATGGAATTGACCTTTCATATAAACCGACATTATCTCTTATAGTTGTCGCTGCACATACTGTGTGTGTTGTTATGTCTCTCCAGGTGTAAATATACTTTCACTAGGACATGAATAACTTCCACTCTTTTCTTTCTTTCCAGGTGGTGGAGAAGGATCTTCCCCGATACCTTTAAACATCTAATAGATGAATGATGCTTCCTGATACTCTGTCCATTTTGACCAATTCCTTTCTGTGCCTCTCCAAGCACCAGGGGATATAGTTTGGGTCCACCCCAGACCAGTGACGGTCTGTCCATAAACCTGCATGGCGGACAGGGCAGACCTGATGAAAATGGCGTGCAAACCTCCTGGGAGGAACTCCAAGCTTGTTTTCAACTGTTTGGTCTGGAGAGACGGAGAAAGGATCTAGCAATGCATCATTAGCTCTTTTAGTTAATTAATGTCTGGCATCGTTTTCATAATAAAGTCATATAGTAATAAATATATTTTTGTCTGTGTTGTTTATTGTCTGTTTGCAACACAACAGTAATAGTTGTAGAGACAGAATATTCATTCAGACTATCACTTCCCATACAAACAATAATCGCACATACAGTAAATAAAATAATCTCACAACATATTGACTTTGGCAGTAGCTTAGATCAGTGGATCAGAACTCTGCAAGGAGTTACAAGATGAATCTAATGAATAAATATTTGCATTTTCCCTGTTGATTACTGTAGGTATAGTTTCACTGTAAATACTGTTCCTTAGATCTAACTTTTAAAAAAATAAGGCACATTTTCCAACCACTTGTTGTTAGTTTAGCAAACTTATTGATTTAGTCAGTTGGGAAACTCAGTAAAACATTTTAGTGTATGCTAATATATTAAGTAGTCTACAAAAAAAGTGCCATAAAATTAAGTCCAGCCATTGTCAAAATGGACAGCGTTTTAACCACATCAAACTTAATTAAAATAAGAATAAGAAGAATAAATAATAATTTTATTTGAATCAATTCATGTACTTATTTTTTAATTTACCTCAAATAAGTAGTTAGCATTGTCATACATTTAACAAAGAAAAGAGACGTATTGGATTCCAACGTTTATTAAAACAGCCATTAAATGCAGTCATGCAAAATAAATGACACAATCGTCTGACCACAGCTTGTAAAAGAGTGTATATTAGAAGACCTTCAAAGTACAGCTACTTTTCTGTGTATAAACAGTAATCTTGAAGGGACAAATTTTAATATTTCAAACATTACCGCTAACAGTCTGCATCATGCGACATCACTGGCAACAGAATAAAAGCTGTGCTAGAAGGCTAGCTAGAAGACCACAACTGTAGGTGTTTTTCTTACATTGTGCTAGAGTTATGGTTTAATATTGTCACATTTTCTATTTAAAACTTACTAAAACATTTTACCTACTACAACTTGTGGCCACAGCTTACAAACTGCAGCTTGATGCAATATCTTCACAGTGTCTTTTAGCTAGTATTAAAACACTTTATCATAACAGAAAACATATCTGTATGTGACTGCCAGGGTGACTGCCATGTTTCATTGCCCAAGCTTGAAACTTGTTTTGGAAGCTAATGACCATGGAGGTTAGTTGTGGATCAAATGCAGAGTCCCACAAACAGTCCTTGAAAGGCCTGCAGAAGGCCCAGAAAAAAGTTTAACATTATTGAACAGAAACAAACAAAACTTAAGTCTGTCGTCAGTGCAAGGCCAACAATCATGTTTGACTGTCAATGCAAGAATCTTGTTTTTGAGGGTGGTTTTGGGCGCAGTGAAATGAGTCTGACAAAAGTCTTTTGTGAGATGAATACTGGAGAAGCAGGGCGTATGTCACACTCAGGACAAGGCAGTATGCTCTGGCCAGATTGTCAAGATCTGTAAACAATGGCATTCCCTGATGATGCCCACTGCATCTGGTTCATGGCAAGCATAGATCCTCATACTGCGCATTTTTAGGTCTTCGTGCACACTGCTCTCTGCAGTTCCCTGTATGACAAACAAACAGAACACCAAAGTTAAGAAACTGTGACACTTAGTGATGAAAAATTTAAAAAAAGAAGCTATATATGTAGATCTGTAGTTGATGCTCTGTTGATGCTTGTATGTTGTTCCTCAAATGTAAGTCGCTTTGGATAAAAGCGTCTGCCAAATGAGTAAATCTAATGTAAATGTATATGATCAAATTCAGAAAATGATTCAACATTCAACAACTTGTGTGCTTTTATAAATAAATGCTAGCCCCCTGGTATCTAATATTAGGGATGAACCTACCAGGAAAGAAACATCTGGTCTGTGGGGTCATCGTTGTGGGCCACCAGCACAGTGAGGTCTGTGCGTCTGGGGCGACCCTCACTGGGCTTGTCTCCAAACTGACTCTTGAACTCATCCAGTGTCTGGTCCAACTCGTCTTGTGTCACCAGGTAGCCTCTGTCATGGCACAGCTGAGGGTGTAATGGGGAGAGCATAACGTCAGTGTGTTTACAAACCATAATGTTTTAAAAGCAGACCAGAGTAGACCAGAGCTGTCAGACAGCCTGTCAAACACATCCAACAGAAACTAAATTTCTGCTGGATGTGGCTGGTTTCTGGTATTTACCTTTAGGGTTGAGTGTACGTCTTTTATTTATTATTTGGAGTTTAATTTGTCCAGTCCGGTGGAATAACGTTAGCATTTCTATTTTTCGCAGCCTTGAGATTAATTAACTTCCTGAAAGATTAGAGTAATAGTATCTTGTTCTGAAAAGCTAGCCGTTAGCAAACAACGTTATCCACCAGTACACCAGGACCAGCTGCTGCTATATTGCTCTTACAAAATCAACAGCTAGAAACAAATATCTTGTCAATACACAGCCCACACTGACGACAAAAACCCAGCATCCAACACTCACTAACAGAGCGGAACCCCCTGTTTTGGCTAAGCTACATGCTAAGCTAAGAAAACATTCAAACCCAACGCACCTGCATGATGGTTTTTGCAAATCTTCCATAGCCTGTATGTTTCCTCTTCGTTTTTTTTTTTAAGTTCTTTATTGATTTTCAAACATGACAGAGGACAGAACAGTTCTAAAAAAAAAAAACACTCCTAAATAGCCTACACATCACACACGATAATTAAGACTAATTACAAAGAAATACATTAATACATTAATAAAGTGCTTACCCAACAATAGAAGGTGCCAGGAGCTAAAGTGCTCAGTGTCGCTGCTCGGGGGGGGGCTCTATCCCTCATAAATCCAGTGAGCTCCAGGGGAGAGACTGCGTCTTGTCCAACGTTCTCCTCCTGCGGAGTTCGGTCAGAATCTGTTTCACGACCATGTCGCTGTCTATGACAGTCTGGTGAATACTTGCGACGCATCTAGTTTTCCAAAGTTTTTGGCAAACGATGCTGATGACAAGTTGAAACAGTTCTTTTTTCTTTGTGGGCATGATTTCTTCGAGAAGACCGTATGTAACAGATCTATAATTACGTATGAAAGAGAGGCCAAGACCATCTAAGATGTTCCAGACCTCCTGAGACCTATAGCAGTCCATCAGGAGGTGCTGCTGTGTCTCATCCTCCTCACAGTGTCTCATCGGACATTCTTTTGTTTTAACAAAGCAACACCAGGACACCACCGCTCTGACTGGGAGTCTACTGACCGACATGAGCCACCGGGCGTCCCGAAGGCTCTCCGAAAGTGACTTTCCCCTTAAAATTTTCCTCACCTCGGTGCCATCGCCAACCGCCAAGTTCGTGTAATGAATAAAACCCCCATATTTGTAATCGTTAATTTTTATGAAAATAGATTTGCTGCTAAAACCCACCCAGTCTATCTGTAAGTGCTGGTGTTGTGCAATAAAATCCCCGTAAATTAGTTTGTAGTAGGGACCCTGTCTGGCCCTGCCTCGTCTCTTATGCCATTTGGTGGGATCACCCAGCCAGAGAGCGTTCCTGGAGATGGCTGTGGAAACATTTTTTACAAAAGCTATCGTGAGGCGGATACCCAGATCCACGGCGCCTAAACCTCCGTATTCTCTGCTTTTAAAAAGCAGCACTCTTTTTGTGACTTCCCTGGTTGTTCCCCAGACCAGGTTAACACATTGTTTATTCAGTTTAATTATCATTTTGTGCGATGGGGGGAAAATATTCGATAAAAACAGGAGTTTGGATAAAATAAAAGTTTTGACAACATTTATTCTGGTCCTATAATAATTTCTTTTGTTTTCCCATTTTTTTACTTCTTCTTTAACTACGCTCAGTTTTTTCTCCCAGTTTACTTCAGCACACTCTTTATTGCATATGGTCAGGCCCAAGATTTTAATTTCCTGATTAATTTGAATGTTAATGTCGCCCCTGTCGCTCTCCTCTCCTATCCAAACTCCTTCAGTTTTAGAGTGATTTAATTTAGCCCCAGATGCATATTTTTTATTTATGTATGTTTTTGTTTACTGACGCAGGCTGATGACGTAAGCGCGCTGTTTTGCAACAAAGGGCGGAGTCAGCAGCTGCAATGCAAACGATTGATTAGAATAAATGTGGCCTCACCTGTAACAAAATGAGGCCCTTATATGTCATTTTGACATTTGGGACAGTGGCGAGCACCGGAGTGCTAGTGGCGATGGTACTGTTCTTTGTTTTATCCTCAACGGTAACGTAAACCTATAGCCTACGGTATTTAGCATGTGTGGTGTGGGTGCGCCTGTGATGTCTCATTTGCGTAACATTTGTGTCTATAACAGGCTATTAACAACTGCTGTGACACCCTCTGTTTTTCATCCATAATAATAATGAGTGTAATTTTAGAATCCATGGTCTGTTAGTACCGTCATTAGTTACCGTCTATGTCAGCTCTTCGTGACTTTGCATCGCATCTCCGACAACCTACGACAGTTCATAAGTCTCTCTTATCTGCCTGTCTGACATCACACAGGCAGTGAGTGCACTTTAGTAATGTATCCGCATATTACGTACTTTTGGGTGTCTGTGTGTGAAAAACAGTACAAAGGTTCATTTGAGTGTAGTTTGTGACACCCGATGTTTGTGCAGCAGCACTCCCCCATCTGGCTGCTGGTATCAGCTGATAGGCTTATCATTCGTAGAAATACAGCCACATGCAAAGTCATTTAACGCCTTTATAACACGCGGGCATCTTAGCACAATGCCTGTTACAGTTGAAACTGTATTGCAGTTTACCAGCATCTAACTCTTAGAAGTAATTATGCCTAGTGGTATGAAAAGTCCTGAAGTAGAAGTATCAATACCACACTATAAAAACAATCCATAGCGAATAAAGTGATGCATATGTCGTCACAATTGTACTTGAGTGAGAGTTTAAAAATATTATCATCAAAATGCATAAGGTATTAAAAGCAAATGTACTCATTATTGACAATAGTGCCCATGTATCTTGATGTTTGCCGATTTTAACTACTCTGGATAGGCTACTGTTATAAATAATTTAATTAATAATAATGCATCAAGTTTTATAAGATGATAATAAAAAAAATCTTCAAAGTAACAATGTAACAACTATCTCTGAAAAATTAATGTAGTGGAGTAGAAGTATAATGATAATATTAATAATAAATTACTTGTGTATTCACATGCATAATTGTATACATAAATGCCTGCATATAGATATAAGAAAAAAGGGGTACAGTCTCATTAGGTAAATGTCAAATTTAAGAAGTTAGGTTATCAGGTCTTGATTATAAAAAAATGTAATATGATGTGACTTTTTTGTTTGATTGTGTTTATACACTGTTCAGTCGCTATGCAAGAAAGCTCAATATCCCAAAGCTTTTTTCCAATGTCTAGCAATAACTAATGTACCTTCATGCATACTTGGCACCTATGTATTATAGTAGTGTATATAAACAACTGTAAATATTGTTTTATTTTTCTATATATTACCATATTTTAATATACATTTAATTATATGACAAGTTCAGTGTGTGTAGCATGAAGGGAATACAAAGTTTAGTTTTCGTTATACAACCTTGTGTTGTATAATGATAACTAAACCACCTTGATCCTTGATGAGTTCTCAGGGCCAGTGCTTCTGGAATAAGACCAGGAAAGCAAATCTCTGGTTACACACAGATTTCTTTGTGGATGATGTTGGAAATTGTGTCAGTTATTCATTTCCAAAAGTCTTGAATGTGTTTACACTTGATGAATGAAATGAAATGGAATTCCTTTTTCTGTTGTACATTTTATACTCTCTCACTTATTTCGTATTTTGAATTAAACAGTGAAGAGTATGTGAATATTTTATGGAACCATAGAATCTAGTTTTTCTATATTTGTATTTATTGTTTGTAACCATTTGTCAAAGCCAAGCCATGAAGCATGATTTCCGTGTAGAGTTGCCAGAAACTTGGGAAATAATCCTTTCTGACCAGTGCATTTCCCAATAACTTAGTCTTGTTTGTGCAATGCTTTGCCTGGTGGTTCCACTTGTTTTAGCTGACTGTAATTCGGCAAGATGTTCTAGTAAACAGGCAGGTACAGAGTGTTATTACAGCAGAGATTATTATCTATTTTCTTGAAACATCACGTCTCTTGTTACCTGCATTATGATTATTTGATAGAATGAACGAGTGTTTCGGGTTCAGCCATTGTGACTTATGTCAGGGGAGATTTAGGAGTTAATGGGTGCTGCAAATCGAGCTGTTTCACTGATGATGATCTTTTTGTTTTTCATTCCGATATTACAGTAAGCTCATTTCAGTTTCTTCATTCTGTGGCCCTTTGCCCTGGCCGCATGAAGCTCAACCCAGTCGACTTTCTTCACGAGTTTGTGATAATGTTTTGGACTGTGGACCGCAGTACACGTGCATTTCTGATGTGGATTTTTGTTAGTCAGCAGCAGAGAGGGACCTATTGGAGAATCACAGCCTACCATTTCTGTTAATGATCACCGCTTCCCTTGACATGAGGACACTGGAACGTGTGCTCTCTCAGTAGTTGGGTTGTGGTCTGACAGTGAGGGTGTAGCTGAAGCCACTTTGGGTTTACAGATTTAATCGCTTTCTGCCTTCAGAGGACCTTACTGAAGGGCAGTCATGCGCCTGATAGGTTCCACTGTCCTTTTCTCTGTCCTGCTGCAGGCTATGGTAAGAACAAATTAGATTAGGGCTGAAACACTGGTTATTTTTGCAGTACTGGAACTTGCTTTTGGACAATGTCAGATTGTATTGAACTGAAATGATGATTGGTAGTAGGAAAGTAGATGTGTTTTTTATTTGCATTTATTTTATATTATGTATTTAAATGTAACATTTTTTTAATAATTTGCACACAGTTGACATTATGGTATATCGGTGCTACATCTGCTGGAACATCTTTCTTGTTATCTAACATTCATTAAGCAGGATAAAAGTGCATTTTCAAAATAAATTCCCATCACTAAAGTCTTTTTTTGTACCCTTCTTTCTTCCTAACAGTCTACTCCAACAGAGGACTGGCACACGGCCACATCTATTTATGACTTTTCAGCGACGGATATTGATGGCAATGTGGTTTCCCTAGAAAAATACAGGTAAGTGTTACTATGACATATTCTTTTCATCATTTTGCTGCAGTGTTTAATTTAAAGCCTACCACCACTACAATATTATGCATGTTTGTCTCTGTATTTTCAGGGGGGATGTTGTCATCATCACCAATGTTGCCTCTAAATGAGGTAAAACTCCAGTAAACTACTCTCAGTTTGCAGAGATGCACGCCAAGTACTCTGAGAGAGGTTTACGCATCCTTGCCTTCCCTTCTAACCAGTTTGGGAACCAGGTACATAACACACGCATGTTGTATTAAAGCGCAATGCTCGAACATGCCTAATATTGTGATCTGAAAATGGTCATAACACTGAGAATGTGAAACAACAAGGTAAAATTACAAAACACTCTAGATGAGGCTTTACACTGTTTTCTTTAATGATCAAGATGAGGAGTTTATTCACAAAACATTTTATAATATTTACTAATGCTGTATCCAATGGAAAGCAACATCATGTTGTAGTAAATTTGTGTTTGTGTTCTTTTATAAGCATTGGTTTAGTAGTTTTCTTATTTCATATATACTCTGATATTATTTCTCTCTACTTGTTTTACTTTGAAGGAGCCCGGCAATGAAACTCAGATCAAGCAGTTTGCCCATTCCTACAATGCTCAGTTCGACATGTTCAGTAAGATTGATGTGAATGGGGCCAATGCTCATCCCTTGTGGAAGTGGCTGAAAGAGCAGCCCAATGGGAGAGGCTTCCTGGGAAGGTAAGTGCTGAATAAATGGGGGATGAGGCAAAGTGATGGGGTGGCATTCACCTTCTTATGACACAAGGCTTGTCGGGTCCAATTATTACTAATAATTGATATTTTTAAAATCAAGTGCCGTGGGTACAAGTCACTCTAGCCTGATTGATAGGTCTTCAGGGTAATGACTTGTCAATCATAGATAATCCCGCCCTGAAGCTTCATGGTCTATTTTCCTATAAATTGGGCCATAATTTACTAAATGAACATCATGTTGTGTGG